ACTACTTAAGCAGAATATTTGTATTGCATTGTAGTAGCCTCATCTCATCCATGGCCTATTTACAACTAATGAAATGGCTAAACGAAATTCGTCCCTTTTGCAATATTTTTTAATTTAGTACCATCTAAATTTATATATATATTTACATGAAAAAAGTTACGTGTTGATGCTGTTAGAATCTAACAGTTAGATACAACTACATAGAAAGTGCTTGACAGGGTGTCGGTAGCACAAACATATCCACCTGTAACTCCGCCAGTGGAAATTAGTTTTATTTGTAGTAAAATTTGGGCTGTTATTTTGCTTTATAATGTTTCCCTGTACGTATTTTAATTTCATTTTCATTTTATTAAACGTGTAAACATTAGTACAATAAGATATAATCCTTTATAGTACACCAAATTTCTGATTTAAATATAGACAAAGAGAAAAGCAAAAAAAACAGTATAAGTATGTATGTATATAAAACTAAACAAAAACCAAATAAAATAAGCAATATACATACATACATGCATCCGTCAACTTAAGAGTAACAACAAGGACAAATAAATAAACTAACATTTTAGTTATAATGCCGAATTTCCACTAGGCATTGAAATGACAAAAAATTGGAGGCATTTAAAAAATGCCATGTGGAAATAAATTTAATGAGTATTTTTTTAAAGTAATGACACGAATATTTTTTTTTTTGAATGCCCAACTTTGTCATTACAATTTTTGCCATTTAATAATGCCAAGTGGACATCCATCATAAGTAACAATAAGGATTAAGAGAACTAAGAAATAAATAACAAGACAAGAAATAAAAACATACAAAGATAGAAAAGAAATTAAGAATAGAGATAAAAAGATAGAAGGCCAGTCCATTCAGAACATTATTTTTTAAAATGAGCATAAAGAGATTGCTTAAAGTTGTCTTTGCTTAGACAACTTCTTACGCCAACAGGGATAGAATTCCACAAACGTATAGCGTTGACGAATACCGGTCTCTCTGATGCTAACGTACTAAAGTGAGGGACAATTAGATCTGTTACCCGTGTAGACCTAGTAAATATTAACTTATTAAAAAGGTAACCTGGAGATTCCATAACAACCAGTCTATATAAAACAGTTTCGGGTTTTCATATGTTCTGAGATCTCACAACCCAAAAGACTACCCTTCCACGGCGATATATGCTCAAACCTTGTGAGACCATACATATAACGGTTTACATTGTTAAACAAAATCTCAACCTTGCTCATCGAGTTGCTATCATGCTTGTAATGCTTTGTAATGTAGATTATAAATTAAATATTTCATTATATCGATAAATACTTTTAAATTGTGACTACATGTTACACACGTGGTACATATATACGAAGATATAAAGAATAGCTATGTATAAATGTATATGTAGGTGCATACATGGTATACTCTTATATTTATGTATATTTTTTAAAAGACAGACTACGTTGTATTATGTATAATATTGGGTGTGTTCCAAAACGTCAAAATACAAAACATCAGTCTCTTTTATTTCTAAACCACACTAGGAGAAGTCTAACTTGCGCAACCTAGTAGAAAACTAGGATCTAACCGTGGTTGGCCAAATCATTTGGTTGGCATTACAATCTACTGAAGTTTAGAAATAAAAGAGACTGATGCTTTGTATTTTAACGTTTTGGAATGCACACCTCCAAGTGCAAGCGTGCCAAGCAAATGTTATAAGGTATTCAATCCTATGAGAAGTTACAGTAATAAAGATAAATACATTCATACATATGCATAAATAAAATATCAAGATACAAAAAAAAAAGAGCCCAACGTTGTTTTTTCATTAATAAACTTTTGGTAACATTCTAAAATGGTAGAACTCGAGCCAAATTAAATTTATTTCCTCAACAACCTGAAAAGAAATAAAACAGCAGCGAGATACGGACAAAATTGTCGTTATTGCTGGAATACGGCATTTTTATATTAAAAATTTGTTTATTCATAAAGTTCATTGGCGTACACAAATAATTCTAAAGAAATTCAACAATGGAAATACACATTAATAAAATTATAGTTTAAAAAACTAAAACCTCCCTATTATAATTGCCATTCGTACTGTCATCAGGTATGTAACTTGAGAATAGAAATCGCTGCATCTTTTAGGCGCATCAATATTACATAGTTACATCCCGAGCTAATAAAAGGAAGGTAAAAAAAAAGAAGATCGTTCTGCATTGAGTTCATTTTAGCTTTTACATACATATATTTCGATTAATGCTACGCTTCTTGCTTAATGTTAAGAAAATGATAACGAGACAAAGTAATGTGTTTACGACGTCTTAACCGAAGTGGGCACTTTGGGCAAGCCAAACTCGTCAGTTTCAATTCTACCCTGCAATAATATAAAAAAATGTATGTATAATAGCAAATTTGCTTTTGCATTCCATTGCTTTATACACTTACCTTATTGCCTGGTACAAAACTATCAGCTCCCGGCTCTCTATCAGGTGCTGCTGGCGCTTTCACCACGTCATCCAAATAGCTGGTATCATCATCGAGTGCTATCTCGTCACCTAGCGCATCTAATTCAGCTTGTAATTCATCATCGTCAACTTCTGGCACGCCATAGGTACGTCCGAGCGCTTCTTGAACTTCATCTGCTTGCTCCAACATATCAGCCATGTCGTCTTGGATATCCTTTTTTTTTGCAAAAAAGTAAAAACCCCATCAACACAATCAATCGATTTCAACTAAGAATTCATATTTACCTCAATATGATCAATATTGACTTTTTTGAATTCCTTCTGCATCTGCTTGACCCCATCCTTCATTGCAGCTACGGTAGCTTGTGTATCTTTGAGTGATTGTGCGGCATAATTTGCCTGTTCCATATTGAAAGACTGATTGCGCAGTGCCTCCACTTGCTGTTCATAGCTGTAGTTGTAAATAAGTTTTATAAAAAACCTACAATATATTATTATGTTTAAAATCAAAACCTACGCCTTTTTCTGCTTGAGCACACGCATTGCCCGCTGCTTTACAGAGTTTTTAGCTGGACCTTCTCGCATCTTCGACATCTGTTCGCGATATTTGCGTAGTTCATTGTCCAGCTTTGTAATCTTTTCCTCTATATTATTTGCGCGAGCATCAACCTGGATTTTTATTTGTTAGAACATAACAATACCATTTGTTTGTGTTATCTTTCGTGCACTTACCCCCGTGATGCAGTCGTTCAGATTCGGTGCTGGCTCCTTGGGCTTGCCTTTACCAAACAAACGATTCATTGTGGCTTCTGTTTTTTAACTTTTAGCAACTGATCCCAAATTTTACTAGCTATATTTTTTAATAATTACGGAATTGTTTTCAATTAAAATTGCGTTTTTCTGCTACAAATT